CAGGAGACTGTAACTTTGTTGTTGTATATCATATTTTGCCTGTCCCAAGTCAGGAGCCTGTAACTTTGTTGTTCAGGAGCCTGTAACTTTGTTGTTGTATATCATATTTTGCCTGTCCCAAGTCAGGAGCCTGTAACTTTGTTGTTGTATATCATATTTTGCCTGTCCTATGTCAGGAGACTGTAACTTTGTTGTTGTATATAATATTTTGCCTGTCCCAAGTCAGGAGCCTGTAACTTTGTTGTTGTATATCATATTTTGCCTGTCCCAAGTCAGTAGCCTGTAACTTTGTTGTTGTATATCAAATTTTACCTGTCCCAAGTCAGGAGCCTGTAACTTTGTTGTTGTATATCATATTTTGCCTGTCCCATGTCAGGAGACTGTAACTTTGTTGTTGTATATCATATTTTGCCTGTCCCAAGTCAGGAGACTGTAACTTTGTTGTTGTATATCATATTTTGCCTGTCCTATGTCAGGAGCCTATAACTTTGTTGTTGTATATCATATTTTGCCTGTCCCATGTCAGGAGACTGTAACTTTGTTGTTGTATATAATATTTTGCCTGTCCCAAGTCAGGAGCCTGTAACTTTGTTGTTGTATATCATATTTTGCCTGTCCCAAGTCAGGAGCCTGTAACTTTGTTGTTGTATATCATATTTTGCCTGTCACAAGTCAGGAGCCTGTAACTTTGTTGTTGTATATCATATTTTGCCTGTCCCAAGTCATGAGACTGCAATTCAGTGGTTGTTATTTTTTGCTGTTTATCATATTTTGTTTGTATATTGTTTTGTACATAAATCAGGCCATTAGTTTTTCTCGTATTAATTGTTTTACATTTTTCATTGATGAACCTTTAGTAGCATGCTATGCTGTATGGGTTTTGCTCATTGTTGAAGGCCCTTAAGTGACCTGTAATTTCAACATTCTACATTATTTGTTCTCTGGTTTCATTGGAAGTCATCCCAGATCTTCTTATTTTTATATTGTGTTATTATCATTATTGTTTGTTTGTTTTTTATTTATCCTTTGTTTATATATTCTATGCTAGGGTATTTTATGTTGCACACAGGGAAGCTGTTGTGAAGATGTACCCTTCCTATTTATAGTTTTTCATATCAAAAAATGATTTAATATATATTTTTAGATGTTGTGTGAGGATGCCATGATACACCACTTGGATTTGTTGACATTATGAACAGAAAAGTGTGAGGAAGCAGAGATGACCTAAGAGTTGTTGATATTATGAATAAAAAAGTGAAAGGATACAAAGACGACCTAAGAGCTGTTGACATTATGAATAAAAAAGTGTGATGATGCAGAGATGACCTAAGAGTTGTTGATATTATGAATAAAAAAGTGAAAGGATACAAAAACGACCTAAGAGCTGTTGACATTATGAATAAAAAAGTGTGATGATGCAGAAACGACCTAAGAGCTGTTGATGTTATCAATAAAAAAGTGTGAGGATTCAATGACAACCTAAGAGCTGTTGTCATTATGAATAAAGAACGTGTGACTATGCAAAGACAATCTAAGAGTTTAAAAAAGTGTGATGATGCAGAGATGACTTAAGGGATGTTGACATTGTGAACAAAAAAGTTTGTCAGATGATGCAGTGGCATTATCAATAAAAAAAAAAAAATAAAGGTATAAGTTGATTGACTCTTTTATTTTTATAGGATGTAACTTAAACATCAAGTCAGCAATTACACTAACAATAATCAACACATAAACAATTAACAATGGAATCATTGCTTAAACACAGTAATCATGATTAACTAAACTGATTAATGATTAAAACTAATTAAAATGTGTAATACTAATCTATAATGAAAAAGCTTGATTAATGAAATTATAAATAAAATATGGCAAATATATAAAAATAAACAAGACAATGTGATTTTTTGAAAGTGGAAAATGAATAAGTTCAAGATTTTAGTTCAATATGAATAAAAGGATAATAAAAGAAGGATGACTAACATTTTGGTTATTAATGTTTTTTCTCTCAACTTATTTGTAGATCTGATCACAACAAAATAATTTTGTAACAATAGGCACAGTATATAAGAGGATTAATTGCTATTATCTGAACTTTCCTTATTTTTCCCTGTTCAAATTACAAATATACTTCATTTTACAACAAAAGAAATTAAAATCATGATTCAAATCTCATTTTATGCTAAAAGAAGAAGAACATTCTTTATAATCTTATGTTAAGAAATTACTTTCAAATGGTAGATGATGTTATATTGATCAGAAAATAAACAATAATGCCCATTTAAAAGAGGTACTATGTACATATAATGTAGTTAACAAATATATTTATACATGAAGTTCAATTTCACCATGCAATATCTTGACTGCTCCATTGTTGATACCTGCCCTTGCGGTCATAAAAGTTTCGAGCACAATTATCGTACTCAGACTCAGAAATCAACCAATCAAAATACTGGATTTGGTGTTTCGAGCACAAATTTTGTACTCTTGAGTACAGTTTTATGACCGAGGACTCTGATGTACTTAAGATTGAAAAAAAAGACAATTAAAATTGGTTTCATATAACAAATTTCCTATAGAAGAATAAAAAGTAAAAAAATAAAAAGCGTTATAACTATTTTGGTGGTGATGATGTTTAAAGGATACCAGAACATAGCAGGACGCCAAATTTTCCTATTAAAAATGATTATCTCTGAACTCCCTCTCCCCCTCTGAACCTTAATTTGAAAATGAAGATAAAACAGTACATCTGCATGTAAAATGTGACCTATAGTTCAGTGTCACCTGACAGATGTGCCAACAGGGAAGTCAAGATTTTACACAGGTAAATTGAACGAGAGTAGAATTTCTTCAATGCATACAAATGATGGTTGAAATTCTCCTATTTTACAGACTATTATGAAGATGATTATATATTACATGTATCTTGAATCTTTTTCTGTGTTTAAGATGCTGTTGTACTTGTACAAATCTGAGGTAGTCTGACTGAGGTATATATAACATACTGTCCTCTATTATATTTCTGAATTAGATCAATGAGGGCAGTGCGATCAAGAGTAAAACTGACAAGGCCAAATATATCGGTAAAGTTTTTAGGTTTTTCCTCACTGGAATTCTGTCCTTATAATGTGTATATATCTAATTAATCAGGGGGTCATCTCAAGGATTCAAATTGTGCTGCATCATATCAGGTTAAAGTTTCCATAAAAAAAATAAAAAATTTTAACAAACACTCCTGTGGTTTGCAGGAGTGAAAAAAATCTTCCTGTCTGTAGGCGGCTACAGTAGCTTTAAGATGACCCAATTAAATATCTAATCTACTTTCGCTAAATATATTATACTAAACTAATTAATTGCACATTAAAAACATGTAGAAGTCATTGAGCATCATATTATTAAGGATTTCATTTTTTTAAGCAAACTTGGAATATTTTCAGTTATAGCTCAGTGCAGGAACAAACAAATACTTCCTAAGATCTATTTTTAAACTTTGGTATTTAACATTTCAATTCTATGCCCCAATCAAATCATTTGTTGTATCTGTTTCATTCTTTAACATGTATATTTCTAGTATAAGTTGTAGTAAACATAGGTTGCAATAAAATTTTATGTAGCAATGAACAGTAAAAAATGCGTATTATTAAATTTGTTTAATCTGCGTAGTCATATTTTTCTGTATAAATTTTTTTTACATTAAAAGGGTATTTGTAAAAATTAATCCCCCCGTTTTTTTTAGAACAATGCTTTTTTCACTTCCCCAGCGCCCCATTCATCCATTTTTATAGAGAAAACACTGGTAATAATCAGATTGGGAAGTGTTCTATGTTAAAGTCACTCTAAAAATGAAAATGTATAGCACTACTAGTGCAAAGCACCCAACTGTTAAAATGCATTAAGTAAAAATTGTTATAAAAAGTGCTCAACTACTAGTGGTGAAATAAAATATCAAAAAGAAAAGAAAAAAAAAGTTTTTCCCGTAAAATATCTGTTATATTTACATTTTATTTATGCAAATAACACAATGAACATGAAACTTAATCTGAGGTAACTAAGGGAATATTGATTTAATGATGGAATTTCTTTGCACATTCTGTGTACCAGAAATTTATTACAGCTTTCCCAGAAGCACCTCAAACAAATTCTGGCAAATAATGGCATTAAAATTCTTTAATAATAATGTTCCCTGAGATTTAAAACAATAATATTACTTACAACAAGCATATACAATACAACAAATTATATATATTTTCTGGCTTATTTTACAAAAATAATCTTAAAGTTTTCAAGAGTTATCACCCCCTGAATGATCTACATAAAGTTACCTCCCCTTTCCAATTTTCTACTTCAATTGCCTTAAAGTCCAAATTAAAACTTTATAAGGGCTCTTTGTAAGAAAAAATATTGAAGGTAAATATCATTTCTTTTCAATAATTTAAACTGCTTTGTTATATTTATCTCAATAGTATCCTTTTTACAATCTTTTTTTGTAGATGTTTTACATTTGGATTTCCATAAATACTTTTTTTCAAAAAAAACACTTAAATTCATTAACTTAACATATATCATAACTCATTACTATTTGAAGATGTAGACACATTGTATACAACAACAAAAAATAATATAACACTAACAATGTCTGCTTGGAGAGCACTAATTGTGTACTATTTACAAAGTTTCTACAGGAAAATGAAAAATAACCTTATATTTCATAAATTTCTTCCAAATAAAAAAAAAAAAAAAAAAAAAAAAAAAAAAAACAAAAAAAAAAAAAAAACAAACATACCATTTGTATGAACTTTACCCCAAATAATATTCTTTAACAGTATTTTTTGTAGATTTTGAATGATTGGATAATTTAACAAATCTATTTTCAAATATTAGTCTTTTTATAAAAAAAATAAGCAAAAAGAAATATCAACCTTGCACAGTACATTACCGGTAATCTAACGACATAATGTACTCTTACAGAAACCCACCCACCCACTAAAACAAACAATAGTATAAATACAGTACAAGTTATCTCCCTTAGAAATTCTACAATCTATATGACTAGTATTAACAACTTGGATGTAATGCTGCCAAAACAATATCTGGGAATGCAAATGTCAATAACAAGGTCAAATCTTTGACCTTAGACAACATTTAAATATCCATTTTTTGTCTATTATATCACTAATATTTATGAAGTCTGCAAAAATGTTCAAAAAATGTCATCATGCAAAAAAACACTGCTTACAAAATGCTTTTTCACAAACAGTCATTTTGTCTTTAGTTGTGAGCAGCACGAGCTATATGAAGGAAGAATTCAACTTTGTCCTTGCTGCAATGTCCACACATATTACATTTAAATGGATCTTTGTAACCATGGTAACCCATGTGCATTGTGTACATGACACAGTCTTTAAATGCAATTTCACAATAGGCACATTCATACTTCCCATTAGGTCCACTCTTACGATTGTTCATTGCTATCATCTGCTGTGCTGCAGTGGTTAACTTTGCCAAATCCTGATTATGGCCGTTCTGCTCCAGTGACATGTAAGGAAAATGGCCACCACTGCCACCATTTTGTAACATCTTCCAGGCAAGTTCAGTTTGATGTCTCAAGGCTTGTGAAGTCTGCATTGATAGCTCTGTCTGCTCCCTTCTTGCAGACAAAATAACATCTTGGCTACTAGTTATAGCTTGACTTGAAGCAACCTCATCACCACTTTGATTTCTGGTAGAATCGGGTGACTTTCTCTCTGGTGCTTTTTCTGATTGGGACTTAGCCATTCCTTCATTAAGGTACTGAAGGCTATTTTTAATTTCCTCAATATCATCATCTTTCTTGCCATCTTCATCAGCTTCATTTACATCTCTACTTTCATCTTTATTTCTCAACTCTTCATCCATGTTGCTGGATTCATCAATCTGAAGTTCTCCCACGGTATCATTCTCTAAAAACTCAGATTCTTCATTTTCACTCCCATTTTCAGCATCATCATGTTTATCATGCAATTTTAGACAGAGTCTATCTAATTTGAAAGCTTTTCCTTTTCTGGACCTTTTTCTTGGGCTCTGGCCATTGTTATCGTTAGCAGACGTACTCTCTCCACTTGAATGAGCATCACCTTCATGATTGATTTCTCTGTTGTACATTTCTTCCTGAGATAACGGACTAGATGAAAATGGATATTTACGCTTTGTAAGGTCAAGAGGACTTTCACGCTGATGAGGCAGTTTAGGTCTAGCAGCATTCATAGGTGACCCAGTTCCGAATTTATTCATCATCTGTTTAATGATATCTTCTCCTTCGGCCCGACCTAAATCTTTGGGACTAGCATTTCCATTTCTGTAATAATTCACAGGCAACTCTGGCATACTGTATCGACCATTATTTCGATTAATCTTGGCTGGTTCAACTGGTGATGAATGTGACCAGGAATGCGGACTATATTTTTGATCCTCATCTTCACCATCTGTGTGTATATGAAGCTCATCGTTCAAGCTATCATCCAAATTTCTCTCCTCCATCTTGTGCTTCATCATGCTGAGTCTGCGGTTCTGTTCCTCAAGTAAAGCTTCGGAGGACAAGCCAAACATTGAAAATAAATCCTGGTTTTCAGTTGCGTGAACTTTCATTAAATGTTTATACAGTTCCTGTTTACTGCCGGTTCCATAGCAACAGAAATTGCACTTGAATGGATAATTGCTTGAATTGTCTCCATCAGGAGTCTTTGGTGCTCCCATCTTGGATAAGTGTTGAGGTAGCTGAGGGGAATGGATTGATGAATTCATTGACATTGGTGAAGAGGTTGGAATTAGAGGTGGTGGGCGGTGGAATCCATTAGGAAGCTGACTGAGTAATGGCCAATATGGCGACATCATTGCTCCACCCATTCCTGGTGGGAGTCCATGAATGGGTGACTGAGGTAGATTGAACATGCTGTTCATATATGGATCAAATTTATCCTTTCTAGGACCTCTTGGTCCCCTTGGTGGACCCCTCTTTTGCAGTAATGATAGTCCAGATGCATCAGCATCAATTCCTTGAGGTAGACTTCCGTCAGAGTTCAAAACAGTGGCAGGTTTATGCTGATATTTACGGAGATGAAGTTTGAGGCTGTGGCAGTATTTTGTAGCATACGTACAATCGGCACATCTGTACTGATAAACATTGGTGTGTGACTTCATGTGGCTGTTGAGCATTGACTTGTTTACGCATGAGTAGTTACATTTGTTACACTTGAATGGCTTCGAGCCAAAATGGTTGCGAAGATGATACTCCAAATGATGTTTATACTCGGTAACAAACGGACATCGTGGACACTGTAATACTTTGTCATCTTTAATATGAGCTCTAGCATGTGCCCAGAATTCAGTCTGAAAAATAAAAATTTAAGCATATAAATATGTATTCATGTACTGATTATATGTATAAAGTGTATGATTTACTAAGCTGCAGGGTAATGCCTACACTTCCTGAGAACCTGACATTTACATTTATTTTTTTATCTTTCATACGTGTCTGTCTTTATGTATAATATAGAATATGGTGTCTTAGATTACCGGTAAGTCATGACTTTTATAATTACATTAATAGTATATATAACCAACTATACGGTATTGTTTTTTTCTCATTGTTGAAGGTAGTTGCATATAATTGCTTACATCCACTTTATTTGAACTTTGGTGGACAGTTGTCTTATTGGCAATCATACCACATCTCCTTATTTTTATATGGTATAAAATTATTGTTATTCAACTATATGTATGTTACACTATCCCCTCCCAAATTAGAACAGTTTGTAATTCAAATTTTAATATTTTTTTTCATGCATATAGTACTTTTGCTACATTCAAAGAATGCAATTTTTATTGTTGGAAATGAATTTCAAATTAATTTCCTATTCAATCAAGCCCATATTTGCCCAGTACAACTCTTATTTATTGTCCATGCTTACTTTTTCGGTGGCAACAAATTCACATTGTTTGCATCTGAAGACTTTAGGTCTGCCCATGTTCCTTTTGGAACCGAATCCGTCTGGTGGGTCGTCTGTGTGAAAATCTTTAATATGTCTCTTAAGTCGGCCTTCTGTTCTAGACTTGTAATCACAGTGGGGACATATATGTTCAAAATGGCAAGTCATATGATTCTCGAAATCAGCTTGGGTTCTTCCTATAAAAAATGAAAGTCAACCATTAAAATTGGTATAGGAAAGCATATGTACAATATAAGTATTCAATAAAATAATTAAATGTGATATCAGCAAAAAGCTGCATACAAATATGAATTGAAAATTTTTAATTTCAAGTCATTCAATAAACTGGTGGTTTAATTTCAAGGATTTTCTCCCTTCTGATGTAGTGTAACTTGCAAACTATTATATATATATTTAAAAGTCGAGTGCACTTTTTGCACATAGTATGAGGCAAAATAAAAAATTCTAACATAGTGGTGATATATTGAATATCTGTACAGTCTGATGTCAACCTTTACTAAGCTACTATATGACATCATAACTTGTATATATTATTCCCTTTTCCTTATTTGGATCAATCAGATTCTTTTATAAAAAAAGTTTCAGACAAACTTTAAACCCATATTATACTACTCATGATTCAATATACAACTGTATTTGTGACGAAATCAGTACAAATAAAGTGTTTTAAGTACGTCAGAGCTAGAAGACTAAAGTTCATTCGTACTATGAAATAATCAATTCAGGGAACAAAATATTTACATTCGTAAAACCAATTAAGGCATGCTTTTAGTATGTACATAATCAACACAAAGCCGTTTAGTTTTTATCTTATGTTAAACCGAAATGACCATTATGGAAAAATACGGAAACAAACAGTATTAATTCCTATTAAATATTGTTTAATAGAAAGTCTTTTTCACCCATAAAATTAGATAGAAATTGATGAAAAAATATTTCCATTAACATGACAATATAGTTTTTTGTATAAGTTTGACCAGAATTTTTTACTTTAATAAAAAATTAAACACATCTGGAAACTGATTTTATGTAAAACATAATAGAACAGCAAGATGACAGCCAAGAGTATAACTTGTGTTGAAAACTTGTAGGAACCAGAGGCTAACTTTAATCTACTGTTTAAAATCATATGGATAGTCTCCCTTTAATCAAATAACTGAACATATATCAAAATAATAAATATTTGTTTGGATTTTTCATTACTTTCAACAAACAAGTATAATTCCCCAAAATTCTTATTTTAGTGGATGATGTCGGGAAACTGGACAATGCCTTCAGTAAACAGTTAACATTATTCCAATTGCTGATTTTGAAATGACAGAATAAAAATTTCGAGATCACATGCCTTATCCATTTTTTGTGGGTATTATATATAGTATTTTACTAATCACTAGGTATTTGTAGTAAATCGGTCATTTAAACAGATAGCCAGCGAGTCGCACCTTTCCACGGCGATCAAAAATTCAATGATAAGTGTTATCTAGAGTCAACATAGGTAAAGTTTTATACTTAAAGTTTTTAAGGGCAAATACAAATAAAGTTTTCCATCTATAAATTATTGTAATTTATAACTGCTTAATTTATTTTTCATGCGAATGGACAGAAAGTTATACAAGTTTATAATAACTTGAAAATCTGGGGTCTATTATTGTAAATTTTATTGAAGTGTTTGTGTCAAAAGTAACCATGACCAAAATTCTTATCAGCTTTTAAATTATACTTTTGTTGATGAAAACTTTTTTGTTGATTTCATATGTACATGGTTTGGTGTTTTCTCATTTCTTAAGCCTCCTGTGACAGAAATCAAAGAAAGTTTATCGTAAAATTATTTCAGATTATTGAATAAAAAGGTTTTCTGATGATGTTTTTAATGGATTTTATCCTAAACAACAAAAGAATGTATCTATTAAAACACTAATGGTCAAGCTTTAGGAATTTTAGGTGGGTACTTGAAAATTTCCGGACATGTAGTTTTAAATAACTTAACATTAAACAGAACAAGTTATAAATGGATAATTGAAAAATACAAAAAAAAATACAAAAAAAAATGTTCATAAAACAACACATTGTATCATATATCATACAAATAATGTAAAAAAAAGATTTTTTTTTACCTTCAATGTATAAGATGTGTTTTTCCCCATGTTAAAAAACGGAATGGTCACTCCCGATAGATTAAATGATAAAGAAAAAAAGACTTAAACAAACAATTAAAAACCTTCAATGTGAATGAATTGACATTTTATTTATTTTACAAAACTAATATTTAGACACATTTTTTGGTCCCTTGACCAACCAATTATGATGGACAAACGAACCAAAAAGTAGTTACGCATTCAGACGTTAAAGTACAATTGATCCCACTATATTCTTGGTTTATAAACCTTGAGAAAAAATGTGTATTTAAGTTTTTTCTTATGTAATTTTTTAAAGTGGACTTTTAAATCAATTTAGAGTCCAAATAAAATAAAAGTTTCCATTCAATAAGTTTTCAATGAAAATCAAAACAGTTAAAAACATACAAGTATAAGAGTTAACAAACAAGACAGTTTACACTTTTTTTCATTCATACAAAGCAATATTAAGGATGACCTTTTTCTTCAACATGACAGGTGATATTTTTGAAAAGATATAAAATGCTTATTATGAAAAAAACAATAACAAAATTTAACTTATCATGCTTATATTCATATAAAAGATACCAGATGAGATAAAATTGTAAATTTGAGTTTGACACTGTTCAATTTTCTTAATACATGTGTATTAGTACACTCCTTTACAAAATTACCCAACCAGAATTATTAGGTCACAGCAATCTAGTTTTGGTTTTGATATATATTGATAGTGAGAGTGATCAATTGTTGAAAAAGCTTGTAAAAGAGAGCTTAAACTACAATAGACCATTTTCATACTACCAACTTTTGACTCCTGATTTTATAATTTTTGGACAGGTTACTTACACTGTGGTTGGACATTCTGCTACTCTGTCAAGTAAAAGCAACTAAAAGAAGTAAAATCAAGCTTTCAATCGGTACAATTTGGGGAAAAAATAAACTGTTTTATATTTTCTGTACACTACAAAATCCTCAGAAACAGTTTTAAATATTTCCTCCCAAATTGCACCCTTTGTTAGCTTGATTTTACTTTTTTTAGTTGCTCTTACTCGACAGAGTACCAGAATGTCTTACCACAGAGTAGGTAACATGATAAAAAATTATATAATTCAGAGTCAAAAGTTGGTAATATGAAAATTGTCTATTGGTTATAAATAAGGATCAATATATGATTGTGTAGGCTAGCTTATAGTAATATTTTGTTTGATTGGATAGAAAATCAATTTCCAAGTTTTTTCTTGTTTATTTATAGAAAAGGAAAACTACAAAATATCCCAGCATGTTTCATTCACACCAGTTTTTACATAAGATATTCTACTGTTGAAAAACATTTTTTCGGCATGTTGTGTTTCAAAATTTGATATTTTCATGCAAAAAATCATGACTATTGAATTCATTCAGGATAACTAATGTCGAGACCAGATTTAATGCTTGACATATGGCATAGTCCCTGCTCTATTGCTGGAGACCAGGCCTTGCGGTCATAAACATTTCGAGCACAATTATCGTACTCGGACTAAAAAATCAACCAATGAAAATGCTGGATTTGGTGTTTAAAGCACAAATTTTATACTGCGAGTACTGAGTAAAGTTTTATGACCAAGGACCCAGATATTGACCTCTAGATGTCTAGTTTCTTTGCTGTGTTGTTAGGCTGCTGTCTTATTCTCCTTATCTCCTTTTTATCATCTAATAAAATCTCATTTATTAATTAATTTCATTTAGGGTACTGTCCAAATTTTTTTTCAAAAACAAAGATTCAAAAATAAAACAACAGATTGAAATATCAAATGGAATTTGTAAAATCGATAGCTCAAAAATTCACTCCATTATCTTATGAAAATGTACAAGATTGAAAATGATCAAGGAAAAAATATCAAGTCTGCAAAAAAAAAAAAATCTTACACATTATATAACCATTTTTTTTCAATTGAACTTTTACCTTCTTGTTTTTAATTTTGAATGTTTATATCTTTTAAAGTGTACATTCCACTTACCAAAAGTTCATAGAGCTTTACGTATATTTACATTCCAAAAACTATTTAATGTATCTAGCTAACGATATAAAAAAATATAAGAAAAAACCAACACAACTGTGACATCTAAATATCCACCCTTGACACTTAGATGACCCATGGCCAAAAACAAGTTTTATATGAAATTTTTTATTGATTTAAAACCATTTTTTGTATAATGTTAGCATCCATGTGCTAAATTGCTTAAAAACATTATTTAAATACTTAAAATATACTTGTACCGCTGTGAGCTTGACACGGTCCCCACATTATATATATCGGTAACAAAATGTTACATCAACTATTTGACCCTTTGGTACTTTTTATTTTTTAATAACACAATTTTTCCAACGGGCTGTTAGTTTAACAGGTAAAAAAGAAACAAAATGGACATTCACTGACCAAATATGCTCCCAGGGAGAAAAATCAACCATGCAGAAAAAATACTACTCAAAATTGTTGTTGAGGAAAGATTGTTATCGTTAATTTTGCTTTCACTAAAAAGCCTAGGTATATTTTTAATATATTGTTACGGCATGATAAATGACCAGTGGTTAGGTTGACCTCGGTCAGAATGTGAAATGAATAATTTGAAAATTCCTGCAGCTAAAAATGCCATTTGGAAACATATATATCAACCGGTCAATATGAAATAATTATCTATTATCTATCTGATTATTAAAGCTGTTTCAAATTCTAAAGGACAAAATCATGTACTCATTTAAAAAAAATATTATCAACATTTTGGAGGTGTGATTACTAATTCAATGATTAATCATTTGAAATTTGAAACTTGAAAAAATGTAAATGTATTTTTTCCTTGTTTTTGTTTCTTTACGAATTGAATCAATGATGATTAATTGGGCGTGATTGTTAGATATATGTTGGTTTGATAAGTTATTCACATGTAACAATTATATTTTGGAAGGATGGACATTCTCCACTTTGGTCACCAATGAACTTGTGTTGAATCAGAAAGCCACCAAAGTTATAAGAATTGCAACTCATTTCACAATAAATAATACAAGAAAAATAATTTGATGATGAACATTTCAGTATATTACTTTCGATAAATTTTGTTGTAATTATTTTTGTGAAAATAGCTAAAGATCTTTGTGACAAATTAGCTCATTATTCAAAGGAATGACCTATCAATAATTTTTTATTGAAGAAAAACAAAACTTGAAAATTTTTAAATAAATATGCTTTCAAATGAATCATATCCATAGATATGTGTGTTTCAGGAGGAAAAAAGGGGGGAGGGGCGGGAAGAAAACCAATTAGAACTATTAAAGTTTAAATTGTGTTTGAAAACAGACCCTTAAATTGCTGCCTAACCCCTAGCTGTAATCTAGACAACCAATGTTTAGAGGTTCCTGGCTTTGGTCCTGCAGCTCGCTTCACAAAAAATTCTTACGATACAGTAATAATGAAATGGCTCATGACCATGACTTACAAGTATTTTTCCTCATTAGACGTTTTGTGAAAAGGAAAAGAGTTGCTGCTTATAAATTGAATAATACTACGATTATAGCAGTGAAACAAAAAAGAATATGCCCTTAAAAATAAAGTGTTGATCTATCGTATGACCTTGTCATAATATACAGTTCAACTGCACTTGGCTAAACAAGTAGAAATATACAATTGAGATACAAGAATAAACTATTCATAATTTCTCAAATGTGTGAAAGAGGCTAAAAAGCTATGAACTTTGATCGTAAAGAAATTGCCTAATTCTTACACACACTTTACTTTAGTTTAAAAACAACATTAATACGAACACTTGACATTTGTATAAAACAATATTCATAAATGAGCTCTTATCTACGTTAGGTTTTTCGTTTTAATTTATCTGTTTACAAGGAAAAGTTAAAATTTCAAAGTATCTTAATAAATTACCTTATAGTTTTTTCTATCATCCCAGTTTAAGACGTGGATCGACAACATGTTTACATACGACTAGGTTTTTTTTACCTCTTTTTTTTATACAATTCTTTTAGTTATTTGTGTGCATCTCTATTCAAAAATGCAATAAGGTTTAAAAAAATGTTTTTATTAAACGGTACTGAACCATTCAAAAAATGATCAAAATATTTTATTCTATTGAATTTCCGATGATTAAATCCAAACTTTTTCAATTAAGATCATGTACGTTTATATTATACATATCACGTTTAAATGTCCGATCTCTTAAAAGGTCTGCTCTTTTTTAATTAAGTTTGGACATGCATGCAGTAAGCTTTATGCTATAAAAACCAAATCTACCTTGAAAAATGTTGTATAAATTAATAAATACGAAATGACCTGTCCTTGTCAGAGGTGTTTTTATTGACTTTTTGTTTCAAGTTATCAGTGAGGTCCCAAAGTGGTATAATTTTACAAAATTGTACGTGGGCTAGACTCCATCAAGAGTTCATTGAGATGTCAAAAGCATTTATACGCATATTTTTGTTTTTGAATTAATTTCTACCCATATTAGTCAGTATGATGGCATATGATATTGTTCCTGAGAGAGGACATTTTTAATGTGTAGTTCATGATTTATGAATGGTTTCTTTCTTATGAACTATAGGTAAAATTTTCCTACTGAAATAAATTATAATATGTGATGCTGAAAATAAATTTAAACTTGAAGCTTAAATATTTTTTAACATTTTAAATTCACATATTTAGGAACTTAATTGTTAAGTCTGGATGCGGACCTGAAGTTAAAGATTTTTAAGAGGTACATTTGGGTTATTTCAGGACCAATTATTTCTATATTTTCATTCCTTTTATCAAATCTTTTACCACTGTAAAAATTGAGGAAGATTAAAAGATTTCCTACGAAAAATTGACCACCTAAACCCTGCCTCTGCCCCATTCCTTTTCTCTACTTTTCTTATTCATTTGTGTGCCCTTCTTCCCCGAAATCACAAGATCAACAATTTTCTATCCAAGTGACTTTTGTACTTTCGTGATCTACAAATTTATATCGTGTTTTTCAACATATGGTTTATTCACAGAGTTTTATCAAGCAAACGTTATACAACAATATCTATTTGTGACCTAATTTTTAACCTTTCCACATGGCCATCCTGATGTTTTTATGGATAATTTCGAATCATTAGAACTCTTGTTAGTGAATTAACAGGATAAAATCAACATTTTATCTGCTATATATTTTTCCCTTTGGTAAAATACTGTCATTTATTAGAAGAAAAATTAACATGATTTTGGAATATAAGTACACCACAGGGAGCTGAAACCCGTTTTATGCTGAAATTAAACCTGGTTTGTTGTGTTATGCAACAACATGTGTTTAATAAGACGAAAATTAGTCAGGAATTATGGTATACAGAGCAACTCTTCATCAGGCTTGAAGATAGCATTGAAAACATGTAATTCATTTTTGTCCCTGTTTTCTAAACAAATGATTTTTTTCTGTTAACTGTAAAAATTTCCATGGATCTTTATACATCAGAATTTGTGTGGTCATCCGAAGACATTTTCGGTACAAAAAGACTTTTCCAATACCTATGTGTTTGAGAGGAAGACTTTACCTTCTCTTTTTTGTTTGTTTTTGTGGATACCAATTTTATTGGATTGAGAAAAAAAAATTCTAGGGTATTTGATTTCATGGTTTTGCCAAAATCTGCATGCAAGACAATAGAAAATGTGAACTTTGACCTATAATGACTTTGACCTAAAATGGTTTACTTTTACAAATTGTGACTTGTATGGAGAGTTGTCTCATTGGCACTCATACCACATCTTCTTATATCTATTTGCTATACATTTAAGTTCCTGGTTCACATATACCATCAAAATTGACAAAAATTGGTAGCGCATGACTAAAAATGAATCCACAATAGGGAAAAAAGACAAAAATAATGAAAATTTACCTGAAAAGCTACAAAGGTGGCAGAAATATAGTCCTTCTTTGTCTGGCTTGATAGTGGTGACATGTCCTGTGTTTGGATCTCTGACATAAGTAGCTGTGGAATCGGATGTAACATTGTTGGTCAGGTATTCAGATTGATCGTCCGATGAGTTAGAATTGGTATCGTGGAAGCTGGCGTTTGAGAGATTATAACCTTCGTGATTTTCTATCAGCGAGTTATCTTCAGACATTACCTTCTCAACAACATCTGCAACTTGTGGTGACACTGTGTCGGCCCTGAAAAAATAAACATAACCAAATTTTAATCAATAAACTCTAATGGACTATGTTTAAAATTAATTCCATGAAAAAATCACCTTCCATTTCGTCCTTTACAGAATATTAAACCACATGCTTAACTCTCATTAAATGAATTCAAGCAAGGGAAATAATCCTTGCAAGGTCCTTGCTTATTTTAACTTAATTTTGTTCCAAATTTTAAAAATAAATTGAACCAACCAAAACATCATTAAATAATTTTAAGCAAGGGAAATAACCCTTGGAAGTTCCTAACACATTTAAAAAAATAAAAATTTCTGATGTTAAAAATAAAAGGAACCAATAAAAACATTATTTTCTCTACCTTCTTAAAACTATCATTGTATTGCAATGTAAAAGGGGGCCCAATTCAGTCTTAAATTGTTAAGGTGCAAAACAATTATAGTCGGCCTCATGGAGAATGAACAAGAAGTGGTAAAAGAAAGTTATCAAAAATATTTCAGATCCTGATTACCATGACATATCCTGTTTTAAGTTCTTTTAGGTAAGTGGTTGTTGACTTTGACGTAAAAGTATAAAACAGGTGTTCAGATGAACCTTCAGTCTTGAAAAAAAAAACTGGTAACCAAACAAAGTACATATCAATCATAAAAAAATAGTTCAAAATTACTGTTAGAAATAGCGATAATATATTAACAGGTGTAAAATATATGAGAATGCAATAAACAATTTTAAAAAAAGAAGATAAAAAATTGAAGAAAAATGTGTTTGAAACATTATCTTTTACATACCCGCCATTTGAAGTTTTCACTAGTTCTCCAAGACTTCACAAGATCAAATTTTATACCAAGTGATCACAAAGCTTATAAAACACAGAGCTGATACGATTAAACAACCTTTTTTGTCATCCAACGTACTTGAGTTTTAACCCATAAAAAATTTAAGATCTAAACACTTAAAAAGAAACAATTGCTCTTCAAGTACTTAAATCCACACTGAAGATAAAGTCAGTTTCGGAAATAAACTTTCTGTCAACAAGTTATCGCTGTTTTCTTCTGTATCCTTATAAAAACAAGTTTTTATATATATATACGATACATTGGCATTTATTGCGTTGGCGAGAGTCTCTTGCTGTGAAGTTAAATTTGTCCAGAGGTGTGAATATAAACAACAGTAAAGTGAAACTTATTAAAAAGAAAAAAAATTATGTTAGAGTGGGTGGCGCATATTCGCCGTGGACACATTTTCGCCGTTTTTCAATTTTTTCTGTAAATTTCGTGTGCCTTTAAACAATACTTGCCTAAATAGATGCTAAACGCTGTTTGTAATGTTCGAACTGTTGATATTCCTCTTTACCCCATTTCCAATGTTATTGGCACATATAAAGAAATATGCAGGTGTTTTTGAACGATTTTGGCAATTCTGTAAGATTTATATGTCGATTGAAGTCAGATGTATATATTTACACCTTGTGACAAATATAACTTCTCAGTAAGGGACTCTATATGCAATAAATGCCAATGTATCGTCTATAAAAAAACTTGTTTTTATAAATAAATATTTCACCTGCCTTTTACCATCTCATTCCTCTACTTTTACGTTCAGTTTCATGACCCAATAACCTACCAGACCCAAGACATTATGTTACTTGAACACAAGTAGGCCTCTAAATTCAGTTTGCAAACAGGAATAGAATGGAAAATAATTGAAAATATAGATTACTTTAACAATAGTCTTGATTTGCTCCGTGTTGAAGGCCTAACTGTGACTTTGAGATGAAGAACGGCAATCAAAGTACTGTTCCTTTGCTTTAAATTTTGCCGAGCATCCCTTCTTTCCTATTTTAAAGCACCAAAACTATATCCCTAATGCAAGACCGAGGGTACTTTCATCTTTAAGGACCAGGTATATTCAAATGAAGGTACTTTCATCTTTAAGGACCAGGTATATTCAAATTAAAGTTTTAAATAACCCAGTTAAAGAAGATAAAAGACTATTGAAAATCAGATTATTTCATACCAAACTAAAAATTAACCCTCATTCAAAAAATATCACTACAAAAAAAAACACCAACATAATAATCTCCCTTTCAACTTTGACATCTAATATGATGGAAAGTCACTTTTTCTTTGATTTACAAACACTTACATAAATTATTCAATGACTTATACATTGTCTTTACAGGGACACAACTCTACTTCAAAATCAATTCTGATATTCTTACTGAACACTGAAATGTGTCTAAATACAGAATCAGTCACTGAATCAGTAACATCAACATGATTAATTGTAAAATTTTGTTTTTTTCAACTTCCAAGATTTGTTCACGTGATCCACTTTGATGTCATCATTCTATTACTAAATGACAAATATGATTTAAAAATATTAGTAAATACAATTGAATATTTAATTAAAAAACATACCTCAATTAAAAAATTAGAATAAATGATCAAATTGATTGATCTGTTTTCTTACCTGATCTATAAAATCCAAACTTTGACCTACGTACAAACTACTAAATGTATTTAAACAAAGGTAACAAGTTTTTATCGTTATCTAGTTTTTTCGACATTTAAACTAGGCCTATCCTTGACAAATTTGTTTCTTTTTCTGTGTCCTAACATCGTTATCAGTAAACGTTTTTGTGACTTGGCCACAAACTTGTATGATGACCAGCATTAAACAGGCTCCGACGTGAATTCAATTTTATATCAGCCTTTTTACGTTCTTATTGGTAAAGATATAAAAATCAGCCTTTTATCCTCCGCAATTGTATTATAAAAAACCAATAGCTAATGCTCATTTAATCTTACACTCAAAAGACCTCGGAAAAAAGAAAAACAACATATTGCTTCGATGAAAATCTAATGTCTGTTTTCCTATATATTCAAAGTAAAAAATATTATTGTACAGGATTTAATATAAATACTCCGATAACTGTTTATTTATTACCTTTGTCGATGGGTCATACAATTGAAATAATAAGATGAAAAAAAAAAATCCCGCATAAAAAACTTTCCTGCATAGATTGTTATTGACGATACCTATAAAGGAATGCAATAATTTTCATTTCAACTAAATTAAAGATGTTTTTAATACTTTTTTGACACTCCCTACGGTTGGTCACACCAGTATACAATTGTAATTGTTTGAGAATGAGAAAAGCGAGAAAAAAGAAATGAAAATATATTTTACATATTAACACCTGGTTTGGTTACATTTTATTGTTATACCGTTAACAAAAAATATCAAAAATAAAACGCAAAGTGAATTTTTTCAAAAGAGCAAGGTTAAAATGAAAATATTTGTATTTAATCAAAAGTAAAATGAATAACATGTGTTTTAATATCATAGAAAAGGAAATTAATTCTCATTCTAAGTAATATAAAAGTAGGCGAAATATAATGAATTTTTCAAGAGAATAATTTTAATTCTCAAAGGAAATTTTTTAAATCGTGAGAAAATATTTGCCAAAGAAAACTGGCTTAGAGTTTGTCATGTTATAAAGGCAGAAATATACAGGGGTATTAACTAGATTAAAGAAATTATAATGTATTACTATATATTTAAATTCATTGATCAAAAACAGATCTTCTTCAAAGAAAAGATAACTCTGCAAATCATCTTTTTACAAATAAATCTTGTATCCAATGGTAAACCTTTAGCAATGTTATTCCTACTGGAACCTGCATAGGTCTAAATTATGACACTAGGGTCCATGGGGTAAAGGTACATTTCACAAATAGAATTGATTAATGTTTTTGGAAATCTCTAGAAGCTAGCCTAATTAAAATTTTTATCAAAATATGTCTAGCAAGTTTTCACATAGTTTGAAGTGCTCATATTTCAGATTGTAATCATACATGTGTGACAGACGGACAGACAAAAAACACCTTTTCATCATGGAAAAAATATTGATAGATATAAAAAACCTAATTAACTTACTTCAAAAATTCAAGCAATTCTCTGCGAATCTCTGAGAGCAATTTTGCCGAATTCATTCTTTGTTTTCGTAAAATGGATAATGAAAAATAAAAATGAATCCATGGCACTTATTTCAATAAATATCTTATCTTCTTTCGACAAAACTAGTCCGTCTTGAACTTGACACGTTGTATTTTCCAGTTTGTTCCCATAAAAATACTTAAAAGATTGTGAAAGGTTGGGAACTTAACACTTTACACCCAACGTTTCATGTAGAAAGGTCTTAAACTTTTGCCACTTATATATGATAGATAATATTGTAAATTTTGAAATTATTGTGTGCATAGATGAAACTGATAAGTTTACTAAAATGTATAATTCTATTGATGCAGCTGGCATCTGTACCTTAGTTGAATAATGCAACGCTAAAATACATATGTGAGTTTAAAATAATGTGGTCAATGTACAGTCACATTTTTGCCTTTAAAAAAGAAAATGCACTAATTTTTGAATAATCAAGAAGGAGGGTAGATTTTTTTTAAATTAGACTTTGAGATTCCACTGACATAAAACTGCAGAATCATAATATTTTTACTAAAAACTATCCTTATAAAGTAAATATGAAGTATCCAAAGAAAGACAACTCTTATTTATGAACAAAACAAGGGAAATAACTTAATAAAAACATTATTACAAGTTGCTTTGCAATCTAATAATGCTTGCAAGAAATAAGAAAAAATAAATGTTTAACCATCACAAAATATGGTTTAGGATACTAATTTTTACTGAAAACTATGATTGTGAAATTAAATGAGAATTTTGTGCAAATCATTCAGAGAACTGTGATAAACTCTTTGACCTCAAATTTATTCGTAAATTGTTACACCTCAATTTGATCAAGGCAAATTATTTTAAAGCAAATATAAGATTGCAACCACACTGATGTCACGACTTTTAAGTGACCATATGTTTAGTTTTTAACTTCTTTCCCATAAAAGTACTTTAAAGATTAAAATACTGTACTCGACCCTCATAAAAATAAGATAAATTTGTTTATCATGTGACCCCCCTATCTGCTTTATCTAAAAAAAGTT